ATATAGGTAGACTATCAAATAATTTTTTTTAAACTTTTTCATATAAAAACATTTCTCATCATATGTTTCTTTTAAAAAGTTAGAGTGATGGACTGGTTTTGAGGGCATTTTTGTAAACAATCAATTCTTTTAGAAATTGTGCAATTCTTTAATACATCAAACTAAACAATGGATAAGAAATATGTCAGCATAACTAATACTAGCATAACTAATGCAAGCATAACTAATACCGGCATTACTAATACACCCTATTCAATATTATTCTTATGCACCTTACCAAACGACCCCTTAGGAGCTTTGATCAATCGACAACCAGAAAATGTTTTTATTATATTTGTTGAGTTTTAAGTGAGCTCCTAAAGTTTTTAAATATACAAAAAGGTCTTTGACCAAACTTAAACTCCTTTTAGCATTTTTTATAGGCGGAAATAAGAAAAAGAAAATAGGGTTTATTTTGTGAATTAAGACTCGTAGGGTCGACCTAACTAATTCTTCTAGATATCTTTTGAGAGTCAAATATGTGGCAGCAAGAGAACAAAGGTTAACTAACTTGACCTAGCCAGCAGAGCATACATATGAAGTATCAAATCCGAATGTGTTATGCACCACAATAATAACAATAGACTGACTCCCTATATCCGTCCTACTCATGTGCATTACCATCACATGCACACCTTATCTTGCTTATCCCTTGTCACTTTTTAAATATTACTCCCTCCAATCTGATTTATATGAACTTGTTTGACTGGGCACGGAGTTTAAGAAAAAATGAAAAACTTTTGTATACCTAACAAAGTCTAAAAAAAGTGAAGCCGAGAGTATTTAGTGTGTATTATAAAAAGTCTCTCATTAAAGGGTAGGTAAAATTGTAAATTTAAACGTACTAAAATTAATTTTACCTAAACTTTAAGTAAAAGGGTACGTATTAACGTTTTTGTAAACGTAAACTACTAAAAAACGAAAAAGTAAAAGTACGTACAAATAAACTAAGGTAAATAAGGTAAAGGAGGTAAAGTAAAAGTAAAGTATTACGTACTTAAAACGAACGTTAAAGTTCGTAAAAACGTTAGTAAAACGGGTTTAAAAAACGTTTAAACGGGGAAACCCGTTTAAACCCC